CTTAATGATAAAGGTGATAATAATGGCGATTATAAGGGGTAATCCGGGCAGTCAATGTCACATATAGTGATAATGATAATGATAATGTAATGGTGATGATGACGATGATGATGGAGATGAGATTATGATAATAATGTTGATGGAAATAATGATGATGATTATGATCATGATTATGATATACATGTACTTAATGATAAAGGTGATAATAATGGCGATTATAAGGGGTAATCCGGGCAGTAATGATTATGATTACAATGTCACATATAGTGATAATGATAATGATAATGTAATGGTGATGATGACGATGATGATGGAGATGAGATTATGATAATAATGTTAATGGAAATAATGATGATGATGATGATGATGATGATGATGATGCTGCTGCTGAGGATAATGATGATAACATTGAAGATGAAAGTGATGATGTGATATTTCCAATAGCGATCTTGTCCCAATATCTTTCTCACATGTTGTTTTCTTCGCGTCAACCAGTGTGTGTATGACGTCGGTATCGTGCGTGGCTGCGATCGGGATGATGCCGCTCAACCTCCTCATCTACTCTCGACGATGGACGTCGGAGCAGACCAAAGTCCCATTCATGAACATCTTCACCACCCTCGTCACCATCATCGTCCCCGCCATCGCTGGCATGATCGTCAGAAGATACAACGTGAAATGGGCTAGTAGAGTCTCACAGGTAGGAAAATAGAGAAGGTCCACCAGCGTCGATCAGACATCAATAAGCGTATAATATTTCAAGCACAAGCACTATAATCTACATTTGCCACTCTCTTCCACGGTGACTCCTGTTGAAGTAAATGGGTATTCCCATCAGTATATGAAGATTTGTTGTTGATCGAATGCCTTATCAGGGTTACTTGGCTCGACCTGGGAAAAAATAACCTTGTAAAAATACATAAAAACATTATAGTATCAAGCGCTACATGTAAACATAACTGTCATTTATTGTCAAATGTATTACATACAAAATAGGAAGGCCTTTACTTTAACGGGCGTCAATTTCGAAATAACTTGTTCAAGTGGTCATGTTATTCCGTTGGCCGACATAGGGCTAAAGAAAATTTCGGAACCTCGAGTTCTTTTCATTGGTTAATAAAGGGCTTACGGGGCTGTTATTTGTATATTCCAGAGATATCATTATTATCATTTTTTGTCTATAACCCTTAATGGCTCTAGTTCGGAAGCATCATGGGGCTTGCGACGATCCCCGTCTCGATCTCCCTGATCGGCATCATCAACCCGGGTATGTTCTCTGCCAGCTGGAAGATCTGGACTTCGACCACAATTCTCCCCTTCGTGGGCTACTTCTTCGGATACGGCGTTGGACGGATCTGCCGACAACCCACCTCCAAATGCAGGACCATCGGCTTCGAGACCGGGATACAGAATTCGGCGCTGGCCGTCACGATCATGCTCCTGACTTTCGCCGACTCGGACCTGCTTTACGACATGTTGACTGTTCCGTGCTTCTACGGTATCATCAGTTTCGTCGATTTCCTTTTCTACGTCGCGTTCTTCCGTGCCAGGATGCACTATCGACGACGCAATGCACCGACAAAGATGGACGAAGACGAAGGCGAAGGAGGAGACACTGATAAGGATGAGGTGAATGAGAAGGGGAAAGATATCGACCAGGATTGCTACCATGGCAACGGCATCCAGATCAAATACCAGCCAATACCTGATGACGTCACTGGCACGTTGACAGCTAACGGAGAAAAACAGCCAAACAAAGATTCGGATAAAAAGAACAATGAAATCAAAATAACTATAAATGGGGATTACCAGCTTCTTAAATCAGATGACACCACTCATGACGAAAGAAACATGAAGATAATTGAGAATCCTATTGTTGATACAGATGTTGTTCCTGCTGTATAAAGCTGTGCTCAGAATATTTTTTAGTTTTAAGATTTAACGGACACGTTTTGTTAAATACTTATTTTAAGCTCCTCAAGAAATGGTCACGTGGTACATGATGTAGAAAATGAATGCGAGAAACCCCAAGCCCCCGAACCCCCAAAGTGCCCTAAAAAGGCTTCCTGGTCATTGACGGGGGGGGGGGGTTCTGATGTGATAGAGGGTAATTGGAGGGGATAGGGAGAATATATACATGTTATATCATATTCTTTTGATGATGATATATTTTATTATTCAAGTTTTACTTATATAGTATTAAACGTTCATTTCGATTGTTTTTATCAAATTTGTACTCAACAACCTGAATATCATAGTATATATATATATATGTGTTTTTTTTTTTGTATAATGTTTTCTTTTTCTGTTTTACTGTTTCTACCTGATATCTTTTTCTTCCTAATGTTATATTAATTACGTACTTGTTTAGGGGTCAACGTTTAACAAGGCTAAATGCTCTTTTTTTGTTGACCCCTCATTCGACATAAATTTGCTTTCTTAACTAGTTTCCTTATTAATTTTATTGTATTCATATTATCTGTAATGTTACCCTTGTACCTGTATTTATATATTTAATTTTTTTAATACTCTGTATGTATTGTATATGTTTTTTTTATGAAGAATGAAATAAATACCATACCATACCATACCATACCATCTTACTCTCATTCTCTCTCTCTCTCTCTCTCTCTCTCTCTCTCTTTCTCTCTCTATCTTGTTCTCCCTCCCACTCCTCTCCCTCACACTCCCTACCCTCGCTCCCTCTTTCCACATCTTTCCCTACTTTTCTTTCTGTTTTTGCCATTCGACTATTCTTCCTTCTCTTCATCAATATTATTGTACCTTTACTCATGTAGGTATAAGCTAGGTAGCTATGGGAGCGCACGCACGCATCATTCGCTCAGCCCCAAAATTTAAAAAAAAATGAGAGGAAAGAAAAGAAAGATGTATTATTATGTGTAGGGATCATCGGATTATGATAAACAGTTTGCTTTCATGAGTACAAAGAGTTAATCATTAGGAATGGTGACGCGATTAGTTGATGAGAGGATAGAGCATACCATGAAGGTACAATCATAACGATAAAGGGAGATATACAGTTAACAACTAAATTATTCATAACCCATGTCAATTTTATGTTTTTGTGTTTTTCGTAACTCAATAATGCAAAGTTGACTGGTTGACTTAGGGCCCTTGTTGAATACCTTTAAATGTAAGCTTTAATGTGTTATATTCTCATGAAACATAATTATATCAGAACAATCGCTTTTCCATATACTTATAAAATTGCAAAACTTGGTAAGGGAATGATTAATTTAGTTGTTAACTTAAGTCTGATGGTAACCTTACGTATTTGATGTCTCGAATGCATTATCTGATAATGTTACAAAGTACATTTTCTTATCTACTCTGAAGTATTCTGAGTGTCTAAAATCTAATCTGAAGTACTAACTATGACGGGAGTCCAAAACGAACCCTTTTCACAATAGGTAAACAATACTTTATTGGAAGTTAGTTGACCTTGTCCTTGAGTCCTTGAACGTATAACCAATTAGGTACGTCATTAACTTGATAGTGAGGATCGAGTGGGTCTATTATCTGGCAGGAGTAATGTTGTGAATAAGGAAACCATAAAGTGAGTATCGTTCATCACGGCTTTACTTGAAGGTGTAGAGTCATATTTTTGAAGAAAGTGCAAATGTTGTAAAAATTGTAACTTCATGTTTTCTTCCTGTATAGGTATTGATAAAGTATTGATAAATTATTGATGAATTTAAATGTTGATGTTATCATCACATACCAGTATCAAAGTGAGTGGAATATTAAGAAAGGACCCCTCGCACATTATAACTACTCCGCTCGGTCGCTTTGCCCCCCCCTACAAGATTCTACCTTGTAATTTTTGTAAGACCCATGTCCAGTGCCTCCGACCCTCAATTGCGGACTGGACCCAAACTACGCGCTATATGCTACTAATGTTTATTTACAATAACGTTATGCAAGTATTATGATAATGTATAGTATATTCATGTATACTGATTCGTATACAATTGATTAAGGGTATATTTGTTTATGCCGTATATCTTGTCTTACTGAACTACATATTTGTTTTATCCCTGTGTTGTAATATCACTATGCAAAAATAAATCACTTTTGATATACTGCCATTATCACAGCACGAAATTACCTCTGTTGTCATTATTTACTTATTAAACGTTAGAAAAATAATTGAAAGAGAATTCCACCTTGATACTAAATCACCAATGCACTACAGCTACGTGCGCCCTCTATATAGCAAACCATGCCATACCGGTGACCATTAGTCCCCCATGATGATCCCTTTTTCTTATGTTAATTGAGAGCTGATTTGATGAGATAACCCCCTGTCGGTGACCATGCCGGGAGGTCTAATCCCTCCTGGCCAAACTAGTGCAAAGGGGCTTCAAATTGGTTTTAAGTAGAAGAAGAAAAATAAGAAAAACAAGTCAGAGAAAGCTTGATGTAAAAACCGATTAAAAATATGAAAGTTGACAAACTGGGAACTCCGTGAGGTATCTTGCGAGTTCCCTCCCATTTACCCTGTATAAAAAAAACGTTAAAAAATTATATATTCCTTTCAGACATTTTCAAACACACACCCACAGTATCCACACCTATCTTTGTCACTGGTGCTATCTCACTCATACTATCTCCTCAAAACTTCTTCCTATCCCATTTGAACATTCGAACTGAAATAATATTGAAAGTTTATTTATGGGGTGTATTGGATCATCTTCGCTTGTCGCTTTCTGGCCTTCTCTCTCCAACTCCCTCTCCCTATTCCATTTCCACGCTCTCTCTTCCTCCTTTATCCCTCCCTTCCTCTCTTTCTCACTTGCTTCCTGTCTTTTTAGTAACCTCCCTCTCTCTCTCCCATTCCCTTCCCTCTCCCTCTTTTTCCCTTTTCACACTCATGATTGCACTTTGATTAATACAACTATTTAATCCATTTTGGGGGAAGTTTCAATCATTCATTCAATGTTCCTCTCAAAGAGCAATCAATGAAACCATCCGCAAAATACACAATAGACATTCATTTATATACATGTACGTTCAGATGATCTGTGAGATTGAGGGTTGCATGGTGGTGTGTATACATTCACAAGTTCATGGTTTCACCATCTGGGTAGTCCTGACAGAGAGTGTGGGGTTTTTATTATTATCTTTTAAAAATCTTCTTTCAAACCCAACAGTCCTTTATAGGACTATAACCCTCATGGCGAAACCACAAACTTACAAATCTAAATAAGTTCATATGCCTAAAAATGCACGTTTTATTACCAATGGAAGTAAATTAGCTGATTCAATGTCAAGGTTACTCGCCCAAAGACCATTGTGTAACATCTCCATTGTAAAAAATAGCATATTAACGCATATCCACAATTTACTTGCCAATTTGCATTCAATTAAACTTATAGCTATTGATAAATTAATGGCCTTGATCAATAACTTTTGCTTGTGTAACCATAACGGCAAACTTGTTCATCTTTCTGCACTGATGGTCCATAATCTTATAGACACATGAAATTTATTTCCATCATTCAGTATTTCAAACAACCAAACTCCCAGGCACCAAGAATAAAGAAATTCATGAATATTCCATTCTCAATTTAACAAATATTTTAATTGATAAATTTAGCTTATTGAGATATAAGTGCAAGAAATTTGGTACACACTACACAGTATTAAATCTTTAAGTCGTGTAACTAAGGAATGAAATAAACTTTATATACATGTACCAAAACAAATGAAGATGTCAGTAACAAGATTTCCAATCATTGACAAATTTTATCTAATTTGTCTTTTGAATATTTGTGGACGAGGAAAAAAGGAAATAAATGTACATGGTATACACTAAATAATTTAACCCAAAACAAGAAACATCAAAGACAGACACAACTAGAGTCAAACAAATAATATTCATCATAAGAACGTACAAGCAACATACCAAAAAGGACACAAAAAAGAAAAAAATTAGAATAGAAAAACAAACTATGAGCTCCTGATTTTTTCTCCAAAATGGATAATGATTTCTTAGACACACAATGTACAATGTACAAGGGTGATCAGTACACTATTGTATTGCATATTATCCAGTGCTACCGTGTATGTGTCAAAGAATAACATCAAAGTATTTTAAACTGTGTCAGAATAAAGACATACTTTCATAGCATTGTCAGTGTGCTACATTGATAAATTCTCAAGGGGGTAAAAGAGACAATGATCAAACAATCACCGAAACAACATTGACAAAAAAGTGCTCACAATTACATTAAAAGTAACTGCCCTAAAACAAGTAGTTTTATCAACCATACTTATGCAATGAAATTGGGTGCACGAGACAGAATCCCTGTAGATTTCTATTTTCATACATCAAATCAGGGCCATATCTTATAAACAATTGCCATTATCCAAATTAAGTTATGTCCAAAATAAATTGCAAGAAAAATTTCCACAAGTTATGGGAAAAAAAGAAGAAGAAGAAGGAAGAATAGGTGCCAGTGGCCTATGAAGAAGAGACTATGACTGTTAACTCTTTATATGTGGCACAAATAATCTTCCAATGCCACAATGGCATTTAAAGATCTAACTTGTCTAAAAAGAACTGAAATACTTTTGACTAGCCTAAAGAGAAACAAAAGATAGAATAATGGGAACATTTAATGAAACGTTGTGACAAATCTATCTGGATTTGTCCTTCCATTGTGGCACAGGTAGATTACTTGTGAGGCATTGAGTTAACTTGTCTAAATAGAAACTGAAATACTTTTGACTAGCCTAAAGAGAAACAAAAGATTGAATAAATGGGAATATTTAATGAAATGTTGAGACAAATCTATCTGGATTTGTCCTTCCTCTTCCCTGACTTCCTTGCTGATTGTGTCGTAGTTTCTGCTGGCGGCGCGATGGTTGCTTGTTGTTGAGGCTTCTGCCATGCGACTGGATTTCTCCTGTACATAGGCCAGGGTGGTAAGGTCAACTGAAAGACACAACAAAGACGCGACAAAGACATAATTATGGATCGACTCTGGGATGGTTCTACGACACATGCTCCACCAACAATTCCTCCCAGGTCAATATCCTATACATGTACTACCAGTAACTAAATTTTGAACTTAAAGACCGTCAATACTACTGAGCCAGAAGGGATTGGACCACACAGAGAGGTCACTGACAGGTGGCTATCTCATTAACTCAGCTCTCAACTAACATAAGAAAAAGAGGATCATAGGGGACCAACAGGCACCGATTGGGGAAGTTTTCTATATAGAGGGAGCAAGTAGCTACAAGTAGGACAGTGGGGCTTTAAACCTAACCGTAACCATAATCCTAAACCAAACCTAAAACCTAATTGAAACCCTAACCCTAACCCTTTATCTTTGACAATACAACACGTAATTGTTGTCAGTAGGTCACAGCACATTTGGGGCTAAAACAAAACTTAAGATTGAGCAGAACTTGTTCATGGTGTGTGAAGCGATTCTAAATTATCTGATATCTAAAATCTTCTTCTTCTTCTTATATTCCATTAGAGTTGGATAGCAGCAGCTGCAAGTAAATCAGAATGTTTGCTTACTTACAAGCACACATGTGCTTTCTTAGCAGTCAGGTAAAACAAACTATCAGACCAGACCAAACCAATAAGTTTATTATGTGCCATAGAGGAGAGAGCATGGGCCACAAATCAAATTTGGAATGTGTCTCACAATGAAAATTAACTGTAGAGCAATTAAAAGTGATGAGAAAAATTTGGGGAGAATGACACCTACAGATAATGTAATGAACATCTGATTTATAACAAATTCCAAAAAAATTACAACATTCAAATTTTTAAATCTGATTTTCTAAAATAATTCATGGATATAATACTCTGCTTTCATTAAATCCAACTTGTGTCACAGTGAACTTCTTCTGTGAATAATTTGTCTGTTGCAGATTAGCATGAAACACATGAACATGGACCTATTTCACAAAGCCTTTTTTCAATGACAAATGACAAAAAAAATCAGTGACAAATAAGCTGATAACCTATCAGAAGCAAGGATTTCAGTAGCTTATAACAAAAACTGTCATTTGTCACCGATGACAATTTTTGTGAAACGCCCCCTTGATGTGGAATATTTGAAGAATTGTTTGGTACTTACTATACAGGAAAGAACAAAGCCAGCACCAAGTATGTACACAGTCTGGACAAACTGCTCACAGACATAACCCCAGACGAACCCTACAACCTGAAAATGAATACAAGTTAAAAAGTAGCTCTTTATATGTGTATGAATAAACGGGACACATTGCACCGATTCACAAAGAAGATTCCTAGTTCTTTACTTTTCATTTTATTTCATTTTATTTCAAATCACTTGACAGTATGAACCTTTAAACTTTGTGTCACTTAAAAAAATAATAAGAATGTGAAGCCCTTACTTTTCTTAGATTGATTAACATTAGATGACTGATCCACGTAAACGTAGATGAGACTCATCATTCCACAAAAACTTTAACAAATCTCAATGAAAATGACTTACCCCAAAGAGCATGATTATTGCCTGAAATATCTGCTCCGCTAGCTTCTGTCCTGTATAATCCTGGCGAGAAATAGAATTAAAACAGAAAAGGAAAGTATTAATCATGCTAATATGTATTTCTGAAAAATCTGAAAAACGATAAACGGTTAAGAGATAAAATTGCTGAATGTCATTATCAGACAATTGAGGGCGCTAAATCTAGTAATCTCTTTCTAGATTGTCAATAGAGACACATGGCCCATACAGCAGACTCTTTCATATTCAGAAGGCTGAGCTGTGACTGGCTGTCTATTTGCCAGAAAGTTTTATCAAGGTTTTTTGTAGCCTATTTGGGAGACAGTCTTGCGTTTAGGAAACAAAATTTACTTTCTTTACATTTGTTGCAGATGAAAAACTTTGGGCCAACTTGAACATGTGAATTCTATATTTCTTAAGAAAGATCTCCTCTTTTTACTGCCTGCTATACATTTTTAAATTTATGATCCATACACAAAACAAATTCTTGGGGCCTTTTCTCAAAAAACTGTTCCGAGTCTTAACTTCTTGGACATCCCGTTGAAACATGCATTGTATAACTTGTAGTCAACTGCTTGAGAAGTAGATCTATGATGGTTTTGAGAAACTGGCCCAGGACCTTAGCATGCAACGGAAGCATGTAAGTACTCGAGGTAGTTCAAAATTACATCTAAGAGGTCAACATCGAGGCATTTGGATTTGGGGGTGTTGGCGTAAGGAGAATTTGCAGTATGGTGGTGTGACCAAAGTTCGCGCGTGACCTAAGTTCGCTATCTCAAAAAAAACAGTAAGATTACGAAAATCTGATATCACCAATGGAAAGAGGAACATAAAATTACCCAGGATTGGGTACGAAATTGTGAAAATATTGACAAAAGATCAGCAAATTTTGCATTATTTTGCGTCCGTTCCGAAATGAATTCCGCTCTGAAATCCTTTGACGTTAAAATTTTCTAGTTGAACTAATCTGTAGTTAAAAACTTTGCCGTCCCTTTGGTAATTGAAATCAATAAATTTGTGTAGAATATGAGAAATCGTAGTTCGAATATCACATTTTGTAATATGTTCTAAAATGTACGCGAACTTTGGTCACCCATTCATAAAAAAATAAAGGGAGGAAAAAAACACAAAACACCACCGTCAATAAAAGTACAATACAGAATGACAAAACAAAGCTAAAAAAACACTGGACTTTTTTTTGCACACTGTTTTATAACACTTACAGATTACTGTACCGTACAATAGACCTAGTCTATGCGTGAATGTAAATCTAAGTCAAATTGAAAAAACACAATTTCCTTTCATCTGCTCATTCAATCATTGTGCTAAAAAGAGTAAAACACAAACTCATATCGCTTCAGGTGGGACCACAGTAAAAGACTAATTCAATTTTTTAAAATCTTCCTTACCATATGGGTTGGTATGCTGTCCAAGAAGCCCATTTTAAAGTCTATGATGACGGTTTCTAGAATACTGGAAATTCTATGAATAATTACTGATCTAGGAAAGCAAATATCACCCTTGATGGTGTTTTTCGTGAAGAATCATAAACATAGATCTACGTGTTCTTCCCGGCAGCAAAATGGTATAGCGTCATCTACGTTCTTATAAAATTTCCAGATCATGAAAAAATGAAAACACTGTGTGTGAATTTTCTCGCGCGAACGAATTCCACTTGTTTGTTGCGAAATCAGCCGTACTGTTGCCGCCGATCTCAGACATAGTTTGGTATGCCAACGTTTTTATCTAAAATTGTTTGTTATTAGGGAGAAAACAGCTATTGAAATGCCAAGCAAATCGGCTTCAGACAAAGAAATTTGGCGATGGACAGAAACAACCTCTCCAGACGAAGTGACGGAGGAGCATGTTCGGGTCGCTTATCGTGTGAATCTCCCAATTTGTTCAACGTCGTGCAGGTAAATGCATTCACACAACATTGTTTGTAAAGAAAACTCAGTCATGTCGCATCATAAACTCAAACTCACTGCTCACTGGTTTAGAAAATGGGTGGGGGCAGTGCAGTGAGACTTAGTAAGAGAGATGTTTTGTGTTGTTAAGCGCTAAGGTGGTACATTAATTTGAAAAATTAAACGGGAGCCGGGTGCTGGTCCGAGAATAAGGATCGTGCGCACAAACGAGGATCGTCTTCGTAAATTTGTAAACATGGACAGCAGGGTAGCGTTTCATGAAACCGTGATAAGTACAAGTTCAACGACATCCCATTGAAACGTGTGTTAAACTTAATACACACGTTTCAATGGGATGTCAGTGAACTTGTACTTATGACGGTTTCGTGAGACGCTGCCCTGAGCTACCAAGTATCACGCATTTCGAGGGTCTGAAAATGCTCTTACGCACGACGCGCACGCTAGATTTTGAAAAAACGTTATACCTTATAAGTTATAGGCCTACGTGTGTTATAGTACCTTCGCACGCGCCGAATCATGAAAATGTCACGCATTGCCGATCTTTAAACTTGGTGTCTCTGGGACAGACGTGTCTGCATTTTCACTGACCATTCTGATTTCCGATCCGGGAGTTGGCGATGCGAAAAACAGGTTCTACAATGATTTTTTTTGATGAATTTTACATTGACCTTTGTAGTTGTAGAGGGGTCTACAGAGAGAGAGTTTCACGTTAATTAAGACTAAAGCGATAAATCCTTGGGCTTGGGAAGATGGACAACCCATAAAACTAGCTCATTCATAGATGGTGAACTGGGGGTATTGTTTTACGCTGAATCCGTTTTCGCATCGCCAGCGCATGGATCGGGAACCTGAAACCAGCAGAGCGCCGAAGAAAACAACTTCATCTTTCCCATCGCTCTCAGCTCACCTCCCCTGCCTGTCACATATTAAGTGCAAACAAACTAACAAAGTAGTTGAATTCCATAAACCATAGTCTGGTGTTTATTCCCCGCACTGGGTATCAAGTCACGCGTATCGCATATACATCGCGCACATGCGATCTGACCTCCTGAGGTCACAGGTGTCACATTTGCATAATCTGATACATATTCATTATCATGACATCCCTCCTTTGCCAGAATGAAACTTTATCCTGGTCTATTTTTATACTATAGTTTCACTGAAAATTCTTGTAATATTTCTTTTGTTCTTGTGTTTCAGCCATATGTGAATTACTGAAATAAACATGCTTTGATGCATTTGCTTTTGTTTCTTCCTTTTTTTTTTTCAAAGAACAACTTCTAACAAACAACAAATTTATCTGGTCGATAAACTTTTCCCAAATGTTTTATCTTCCAAACAACTTTGTTGAACAACATAAAACATAACATGCAATATAATATCTTTCATGCAATATCTTTCATGCATCCAGTCTGTGGTCCAAATAAAAGTTCAACTGTTCACTGGATACTATTTGAGTTCTAGTTTTGAGTTTGTGTAAATCATCTGTTATCTCCAAGCGTTCATACGACTAGCTGAAACTGAAGTTTCTGGAAATACTCTCTTCGATGATTGAATCCATTTTTGAAAACTGATCGATGCTCCAACTCAAACTTGTGTTTTTCGCAACACCTATCACATACAATAAGGGCAGCGTTCGGCGTACACCCTTTTACATTGATTAATGTATGTGTAATATTGAAACATATATATATCAGAACTTATTATTTTAGCACATAACACAACTTCCTCGTACACTTGGTTTCCATGGTGATTTCTCCAACATGTCGATTTCACAACTATGGGCAGCGCAAGGCGTACACCCTTTAAATCATAACTTGGCTTCAACCAATGATTTCCAAACATTTCTCCTTGGCACATGTAGTTTCATATATCACTGTCGCTATTTTACAAAGAGCTCATCCCCACCATATTGATCTGGAATCACACAAAATCATCATATCGCTTAGGGAATCTTCTCTGGCGTTGTGGTCTACTAGCTGCCATAGGAACGTTGGTGTTTGTTGTCTCTGCTTGGGTATCACCATCTTGATGTCTCTGGTCACCGCCTGATGTGTTGCTCGCTGCCTCTGAGTCTGGATCTCTGGTCACCGCCTCAGGAGTACTGGTCTCCGCCTCAGGATTACCGTCCGACCCTTCAGGAATACCGGTCACCGCCTCAGGATTGCCGTCTGTCCTCTCTGGATTGGCAGCTTCGTTATGAGTGTCTCGGGACATGTATCTTTTTACACTTGATACATTCCTATTATACAGGACTCCGTCAGGTGATTTCACAGTTACCATACTTCCTGTTCTTGCTGTCACTGTGTATGGCTGGCTAAAGTATGGCGTGTCTAGTTTCCTCCTTTCATCACGTCTTACTATCACCTTATCTCCTGGCACTATGTCAGAATGTACGGCTCCCCTCTTCAGATCTGCATAGTGTTTTGCACCACTTTTCATTTGGAGGTCCCTGTCTCTGAGTTCCTGATCCTCACTAATGTCCTGAATTTGTGGTAGTTTAGTTCGGATCTTTCTCCCGAACAACACTTCTGCCGGGCTTTTTCCCGTTGTCGAATGAGTACTAGCCCGGTAGACTGCGACGTAAGTCAGCAAGGCCTCTTTCCAATCCTTGCCTTCTGCCTGTGCAATTCTAAGCCTTTTCACTATACTCTGGTTCTGTCTTTCGACCTCGCCGTTGGCTTGGGGCCATTTAGGAGTCACCCGATGGTGGTGAATTCCTGTAATGTTCATGTACTCTGCAAAAACTTCTGAGATGAACTGGGGTCCATTGTCTGAGTATAACGTCACAGGTAACCCATGTCTGCCAAAGATTTCAGCCAGGGCTTTGACTGTTTTCTCTGCAGTGGTTGATTTCATGATTGCATACTCGTAGTATCTGCTATAATAATCAACTACCACAAGTATAGATTCTCCTGTCGGAAGTGGTCCTAGGAAATCAACAGCTACATCCACCCAAGGTCCTGTTGGCAACATAGTACTTCGAATTGGTTCTGGTGGATTACCCCTGCTTGTGATTTGGCAACCATGACACGTCTTGACGAATTTCTCTGCATCTTTCTCACATCCTGGCCACCATACCTTGGTTCTCAAATTCTGTTTGGTGCCAACAATGCCCAGGTGTCCTTCGTGAGCTAATGACACCATCTTTGGCCTCTGTGCCTGTGGAATCACCAATCTGCTACCTCTCAGCACACACTGACCAATTATACAGAGTTCATCCTTGATGGGAATGTATGCTTTATATGGACAATCATCCCATTGTCCACTGTGAATACACTCTCTGATAACTTCGAGTTCAGGATCATGTTCAGATTCTCTTTCGACTTCCTTCGTTGTCACCGCACCTGGCGTTGACTGGACTGCCACAAAACGCACAAAGCTCTCTGCTTCTGTTTCCAACACAGAAGTTTCTCTCGGTTGATCATCCTTCAGCAATCTTGACAATGGATCTGCTATGTTGGACTTTCCTGCGATGTGGACTACCCTGTACTTGTACTGTTGAAGCCTCAGAACCCACCGCTCTATTCTCGCACATGGCTTAGATCTCGGTGAATAAATGACTTCAAGCGGTTTGTGATCAGTCACTAGATCAAACTCTATTCCATACAGGTACGCATGGAATCTTTCACAAGCCCACACAAGTCCAAGGGCTTCTTTCTCCGTCTGAGAGTATCTCCTTTCAACGTTACTTAACGAGCGGCTGGCATATGCTACTATCCTCGGGCCATCAGCATGCACCTGCACCAGCACTGCTCCTAAGCCAACTGGACTGGCATCCGCTATGACTTTTGTCGGTGCATTTAGATCATAGTAGCCCAGGGTCTCTGCACTCATCAAGCTTTCCTTTAGCGACTTAAACGCTTGTCGCTGTTCATGACCAAATTGAAATGGCGTGTCCTTTCTGGTCAGCTTTCTCAGTGGATCTGCCAATGTAGCAAAGTTCGGAATGAACTTTGCGCAGTAGTTGACTAGCCCCAAGAAACTTCTCATCTCAGTTGCAGTCTGGGGTTCACGGGCCTCTGCAATTGCTTTCACCTTGGCCAATCCTGGGTTGAGTCCCTCGCTAGTCAGTCTGTGCCCCATGAAGTCCAACTCAGAGACACCAAACTTACACTTTTCTGCATTTGCAGTAAGTCCTGCGTCCCGCAGTCTGCCAAGCACCTGCTTCAACCTCTTGTCATGCTCTTTCTGGGTCGATGCATGCACAATGATGTCATCTGATATGTTCGCAGCTCCTTCTATCCCAGCTATCACTCTGTGTATCTCATATTGATAAATCTCTGGAGCAGCATTGATTCCGAACAACAGTCTCTTATAGCGGAACAACCCACAATGAGTGACAAAGGTTGTCACCTCTCTAGACTCCGGATGTAACTCCAGTTGGTGGTACCCCCACTTCAGGTCTATTTTCGAAAAGACCTTGCTAATCGACAGCTCCTGTAGGACTTCCTCAATAGTGGGAATGGGGTGACGTTCTCTTATGATTGCTTCGTTCACTCTACGCATATCGATACACAGTCTGATTTCATCATTTCTCTTTGGAACTATGACAACTGGGCTTACCCATGGCGTGGAGCGTTCAACTGGCTCAATGATGTCGAGATCGATCAATTCCGCAATCTTCATCTCAACCT